TCATTTTCACGCCTAAAACCATCCCAGTTCTTATACTAATGTGACAAATTTCAAAATTAAATACGTATCTTTATCTCTCAAAGATAAATGTTGCGAAAATATTTCTATTTTAACAGGAAAGAAGATAGTCTATACGTATAGCTATTCTATTCGGATAACAGAACACGGAATATTGAAATAGTTGGACATTCGAATAATGGAGCTTCCGATAACGGAGATTCTACCTTCTAGTCGATTACATCGTTGTTCCGGCTTCGACAACGTTGTTCACGCTTCAATCGTCGGTCTCCGGTATTCGACTTTTGCGATATTCGATCGGGTCGATTCGCTAATGGAGGAAGCGACGTTTCGACGCTTTGCCGATCGGCCGGAAATATGGATATTTTCGGTTCGTTAGGGATTACAAGCCCGGATAGCTGTAACTCTCCGCGTGGAATATTTATTCCACATCTCGTTCCGCGCTCTGGTATTTCGATATTTCGTGCGATCTCTGCTATACACCTCGCGATGTCTATGTCGCGCGATAGTAATGGCGAAAGTATTTCATACTCGATCGCTATTTTTGCTCGACTGGCGATTTAGCTACGGCGTTTCTATTCACAATCCGATCGATGCGCATAGTATATGCATGACTGGAATATCTGCCGCAATTTTTCCCTTTCGAAAGAGTTCTACAGCCGATCAAACGTTCGCTATGATCCGCATACTGACTACAGCTGAGACCACAAAAATATATGAAACTTTTTATTTTCAAACGGATGACTCAGAGGTATAATTATTATTCATTAAAAGATATATATTCACAATAATTGTTAATTATTAATTAAAAGATATCTATGTTCACAATATAATTCACAATTCGAGAGTTTAGCAGTTGTAATTTAATATTTGTTCTAGATTAAACTATTGTATTCAATGCTTTGTACATTTACAATATTAATGAAATAAAAATATTAAATAATAAATTATAACATAATAGGTTTTTAAAATTATTCTCTTAAAAATAAATGTATTTTATTTTAATTTTATTTATTGTTTCGTTTAATAAACAAGACAAGTTTTCACTCATTAAATAAGAATATTATTGAAGATAATATAATTAGATATTAGAATATTATTGAAATTATTAAGCGTAAATAAATTTGAAAGGTTAAATTTAAATGGTTTAACAAAGGCAAGCAAATTTCCATACAATTGAGTTGTCTAAACATGCAAAATGATAATATTATTTTTGCAAAATAAAAACGAAGATACCTCTGATAAAAGTACCGCGAAAATAAATACGATCAGCTTTTAACTAATTGGACATCAGTTATTATCGGGATTTCGTGTTTTCTCCGTTCTATCGTATACAAACTCGCAAAGCGGAATGCAACCAAATGGTGCTTATTGTTGACTTGTCAAACGGAAATTAGTTTATAAAACAATTTTTGTTTAAATTTCGATTCTATAAACTCTTATTAATAACTATGTCTCCTGCTAACTTACGTATTTAAAAATTAATAAACAAATAAATTAAATAAAATCTATATAAATAAAATAAAATCTGTCTTGCGCATGTAAGAAAAAAAATATAAGTCATGTATATACATAAATTGTGTGTGTGTGTGTGTGTGTGTGTGTGTGTGTGTGTGTGTGTGTATGTGCGTGTAAAAGATTATATGATAAAATATAAATAATATATAATAACAATAAAATCTATCCGTATAACAAATCTAATATCGAAAGAAATAGGTTTCTGCACATTGTAACTTTAGAATTATAAGTAATAGTTGACAAACGAAAAGGCGAAACAAGAAGGAAACTAAATCTAAAGCACGGATCGTTGTTTTGTAAAAGTTCGAAATATAAATCGCAATTTAAGAACCGGCGCGCGATATTATCCACGTCTCTTTCCTTCGCCCGGCTTAAACACAATCGATCATGGCCACCGCGGAGATGGATTGAGGAGGCAGACGTTATTTCAGAACAATATCCGTGGCCGATACGAAATTCTGGGGTCAATGAACTCGCGATTCGGACCTGCGATGAACCTGGACGAGTGTAATTGGGAAGAACGTCTATGTATCTAATTGGAAGGATACAGTGTTGTAATGGACAGAGACTAATATTTTCCAGCATTTTGATAATAGATACCAATTACTTTGACCGATGGTGTCTAATTTCTTCTCATGTTGCACCGATCCAGATTTCATTTATCTTACATTTCATAATGTCATTTTCATCATAATCTCACTAATGTTATTTTCACAATCTCACTTTAAATGAAATGTGAAAAATTTAAGAGTACGTAGGAAGGATTAAAATCAAAAATGTTTTTTAATTTTTTTTTAAATATTGAGAATTATAAGAATTTTTAAATTTTTTTAGGCAATATTTTAATTTTTAGAATTTTTTAAATTTGGCCAATATTTTAACTTTCAGAATTTTAGAAATATTCGTAATTTCTCATTTTAACGCTATATTATATTATATACATATAATAATCAGAGTAAATGAGAAAGAGAAAGAGAGAGAAAGAGAGAGAGAGAGAGAGAGAGAGAGAGAGAGAGAATCTTTTTTCGTAATAAGTTCCTCCCGCAGTCAAGAATTTCAAAGAGAAGTGAAACTAGTAGTAAAACATCCCATACAGTTGAAACATCGAGCAAACAATTGTAATGCGTGCACGAGATAAAGGGCGAGGTTCTAGCCAACGGTGCAATTAAAATTTTCGGCAACCGCAAGTTCGGTACTCCCAAAAAAAACCCTTCGAGCCTCAGGAGAAACTGCTAGCCATTAGCGAGGAGCATCCCCTGCATCCAAGTTCAGTTCGCCTGCAGGGCGAGCGAAAGCGAAAGGGAGAGAGCAAGAAAATCCGGCGAACCGGAGCGAGGGAAACAGGGGGAGGAGAGGGAGACGGCCCATTTCACGGGCTTTAAACACTCCGCCCCGGAAAGGAAAGAGGAAAAAAAAGAAGGAAGGCCCGGTAGAATCTGATTCCAGCCATTCGCCCGCTGCTGATTTCCTGCTTGCTGCCTTCTGGAAATAAGGGTGGAGACTTTTCGCGGTGGTTGCGCGCGTGATATCGAGCTCTCTTCGCTCTCTCTCTCTCTCTCTCTCTCTTTCGTCCTACATTTCCTCTGTTTCCCCCTTCTCCCCGTTTCATACAAAAAAGTGCCTAGTTTCGTGCACTCTAAAAAGAAATGACGTATGCGTGCGAAGGGGAAATGAGGATGGGAGATACATGGGGGAGGATACGAGGGGCGATATAGAAAGAATAGGAGGAGAGCTCGCTTCAAAGGGCGATTTGTCGACAGTCAACATGACAAAGACATTAGTCGGCCCGAGGGCGAGAAGGGATGACCCCTTCGGATCATTAAGGAAAAACAGCAGCATAAAGGGGAATTGCAGGAAGGCGGAGGGAGGGAAGGATGCAAAGGCCTCGCCGGAGGTAACTGCGTCGCGGAATTCTCACTAAGCTATCTCAAAGGATGTCACGCGCGGAAAAATTAATTTTTTCCTACAACGTCCTTTTCAAACTCTCTCTTCTTCTCTCTCCCTCCCGCCCTCCCCCGTCTCTCTTTCTCCCTATTTCACTTTTTATCTTCATTCGTTATTTGCAAACAGTGCTTTTGATGAAAATTCTAGCGCTTCTTATCCCGTGTGAAAGCGAATGCACTCTTCCGAACGGTTCGTCTTATTCGATGTATTTCGCGTCCTCCAGCTTTGCTAGTTTGGAAAAGGATCTCACAGAAATCTGGGTCGCTATTTTCTTTTCGTTTTCTTTCATCCATAAAATCGTTTTACGCAATACACAATTGCTTAATACACAAAAGAATAATATTTAATTCAATTGCATATGAGTGTGAACGTAATATCTAATTTTACATATTAATTTATTACCTTGATAATTTGAAATTAACAAAGTAAACACCGATTTTTATTGTGTATCTCTTTCTTTCTTAGCTAAATAAAATAGAAAAAAAACTTTTTTCTTTCATGAGTAGCTCCTTCAGTAATAGAATGCAACACACTAAATCGAGGCCCGAGAGGAAACGAGAAGTTTGTAAAACTTAAGACGCAAAGAAATTCAAAAACAACGTCAGCACGAAGACGACGTTGACGGTCGTTTCAATTGATAGCGCGCTCGCGGCTCTCTCTCTCTCTCTCTCTCTCTCTCGAACCTTACACAAATAAGTTTCAAACATCCGTAATCTTTCTGCTCTTTCTCGTCTCCTTCTCCCTTTTTCCTTTCTCCTCTTTACACTTTCGATTCAGGCTTTCAGCAGAAACCGCCAATAAATGAGAGAGAGAAAGAGAGAGAAAGAGAGAGAATTGGCAAGCTGTTCCTACGACCGATCGAAGCGTTCTCGGTCGGAAAGAGCTTTTCGCAGTACGAGGAAAATTCCGGTGGCTGAAGGCGGTTGCGGACGGGAAGAAGGAGGACGGTGAGCAGACTTGGATCATAGATCGATCCGGAGACAAACATTTCCAATCAGCGTGGAGAAGGGACTGGCGAACGTTATCGTCGCCTTTCCGCCTTCAATTTTTTTTGCTCTCTGATACAGAGACTAAGAGGAGGCGTGACAGGGGGCTGTCGATTTTTATCGAGTTACAAAGGGCGAGGAATTAGCGCTAAGCGAGAGTGCAGAGAGCTAAAGCTTAGAAATTAAATTTCCTCGGCCAGATGTTTCGTCCGCTCTCTTCTCGCGAATAGACGTCTGCTTTTCCTCCGCCATGTCCACAGCCGGAAAACAATAATGGGGTCCGACGGGGATGTTCGAAGGGAAGAAGGGCGAGTCTCAATCTCATTTGACAAATAATAGATTAAACAAAAAATTATTCATGAATAAAGTCTATCCGTGGTCCTTTTACTCGATTGAACAGGTGTACTCTATATATATCAATTTGTATCGCTGGTTCGAATATAGAAATGAGGTACTGTATTTCTCTCTTCAATTTTTTTAAAGAGATTCCGACTCTCTTGACTTATAATTATATATAGACATTTTATCACTTACCCAAAATCGTCAATCTTGATCGCCACAAATACAGAATGATGTCCTACGCACTACTGGGCAAAACCACTAGATTACCTGAAAAATAAACAAATAAAATTCAGAATTAGTGATAAATTTAATAAATAAAGTTAAAACAAAATCTAATTTTAAAACTAATTTTTAAAAAATATACGAGCGATTTTTCTTTCTCTCTCTTCTTTTCTAAAATCAAAATTAAAACTAAACAAATTTATTAAGTGATTAATAAATAGTTAGAGAAACTACTCTATTTTTTAAAAAATCTTATAAAAAACGTATGAAATTAACACATTTATTAAAAATTATGTAAACAAGTATATTGAAAATAACAATTGAAAATCAGAAGCAAAGTCAATACGAAGAAGTTTCCATTTCGCTGCGTATCTTAATTGCGTAACAAAAGTTTCGATTAAAAAGAATTCTTGGAATCGTTGCTTCGGAATTCGACTTCGAACTGATCAATTAACTGCGATGCCGTTGTATGCCATTTTACCGCCCTACAGTTGATTTATATTTGGATTTCTCATAATTGAGACAAAGATATAAAATTTGATCAACCATGCGATTGCCCCCTTAACTAATTGTTTCCATATTACTAACACCTCCGCATTATAGCTTCGACAAAACTAGTACATTAATTGCCGCAAGAATGGAGCGACATTAATCCGGTTTATTGTTCGCGGCGTTTGGAAACCATTCGGTCGTTATTTCGCGGCTATGCACGAATATTGGGTCGCGCGCGTGGAATATCAAATTACGAGTATGAATAATTAATCGAATGGTAGAATCGCGCGTCGTTCGTAACCACGAAAACCGGCTTATTTTTGCTATTGCCTGGCAAATTTAGAAACTAAAAGTCAAATAATAACGTAATTCAACAAAAATAGCTTCCTTTATATATTCAAAAAGGATATTTAATTACTTTCAATTTTTATATACAATTCTAATCTTTAAAATGTTTTATCAAGTTATAATTTTATAAAATTAAAAAAATTAGGATAAAAGAAGATAAAATTGTAAGATAGACTATTTTAAACGTTAAAAGTTATACAGTTATGACATTTAATTGGAGAATTTTGCTGCAAAATTAAATATACCGTTAAAACTTTTAATCCTCAAAAAATTTGTGATTAATACTAGAATTCCTGAAAACTAATTTTTCAATAACGGTGACGGATCTTGATCACATGTACATAATATTTCTAGTGGTTCTCTATACATTTTTTATGTTGCAATCAATCATTGTAAAAAAAAAATATTCGTGACGTTCTTCCAAATAGCCGGCTCCACGTGACAAACAATCGTTCCCGATTCGTTTATCGAAATCTAACCATCATTCGCGAAACTAAAACGAAACTGACCATCACTCCCTTCAATCAATCGTCCTCGCGGCGTTATTTACACTACAGCCAAGTTTTCATTTCGACAATACCGCGAGAACCTGTAAACGCAGTAAACGAATTGCCGGGAAAGCATTTTTTGAGGAAATATTTTTTGATTTAAATCTTTATTTAAAAAAAAAAGAATAACAGGATGACTGTTATAATCTCTTCTGCCGAAATTTAAAATTTACAAAAAAAAAAACGATTCTTTATCTTAAAGAATATTTGAGATATATTTTTGTTACTAAAATTATTCAGTTGTTAATCGCATCGGTGGTGGCAGGACATATCCCGTATATAAATCAAAACCAGGGCGAAAGAAAAAGACGCGGTCATCGTCACGGAACACAAAAGTCACCCTCATGCAACCACGTAACGACTTCCGCGATGCTCAAGGGATGCTCACGGGAGTGCGAGAAACCGTGACGTCATGGCGGAAATAGAAATTAGGAAGCTCGCGGAGCGAATCACCCCAGAACTTGTCTCCTAAACTACTGCCGTTCTTAAATCTTCGCGGGAGAACGACGCCGCGGTTCACATAAAAGTTATTTATTGGAATGCAGTTAAACGTTCTCGTTCGTGTATAGAGAGTGGACGGATGCGTTGGGTGTGTACGTGCAATGTGCGCGTGTTGTACGGTAGCACACGAACACACTTACATCAAGTGGGTTTTCGATTTATTATATCGCCCCTCGGGCGTTTTTCCGGGCATTATTATCGACCAACGATGGAGGACCACCGCACGATTCGCCACCGATGTCTCTTAAATCGATTTAAGTATATCGAGGCGACATGTAAAGCTTCCAATCACTGGAGACGATCAAAAAAGCGGACAAATGTTAGTCTACAGCGAAGCTCTTTACGCGCTGTTAAATCCGATGTCTATTCACTCCATCGGTCTGTTTTATAGATTACAATGTATCGCAAAATTGTGCTTTCCCAACTATTACAGAACCACTATATAATATGTTAATGGATTGCTTAAATAAATAAATTTTCATCATTCTCTCTCAAATCATACACACACTCGTTCTGAAATATTAATTGTTTCATTACGTAATTCTTTGAAGAGAACTATAATTTTTGTATTTTTAATTTCTAATTTGAAGTTACAAATACTTTGTTATGCATATCTTAAGTTTATAATTGAATTTTATTTATTCCTAACTTCAGTACATATTTGTAATTTTTTTGCGCCTTCCTGGATTTTTAATATATTTTGTCAATGTGCGCGCGTGCGTGTTTGTTTAATAATAAATAAATAACAATATATAAACAGTGTAATTCTGCAATAAAATCTTTTTTTATTTAATTATACCTATCTATTCTTCTGTTCAACATCAAGTTCGTTACAGGATATTCAACCAAAGTTAAATACGACCTGGAAGTGAATTATTATACTTCGTATCGTGCAGTGTACTATCTTTTTTTTTCGCCCTTCTAAATTTTCAATATATTTTGTAAATATGTGTACTCGCGCGTGTGTTTGTTTAATGATAAGTAAATAACAATATATATAAATAATATTTTTTTAAATAAAATCTTTTTCTTTTAATTATATCTTTTCTTCTTTAACGTTAAGCTCGTTATAGGATATTCAACAAAAATTAAATATGACCTGAAAGTGAATTATTATATTTTGTATCGCGTGTACTATCAATTTACTTGCACAACGCTTATTTAATGAAATCGCATGCACATATAAATATGCGTCAATACGTTAAATTGCATTACCCAGGCCATCAACCAAACCTTCAAATTTGATATCTTAAAATGTTATAATAAATACCAGGCACGGCTTTTCCATTCGATTACCTCTTCGATTGTTATCGTCGGCATTAATTCCAATAAATTGTACGTCAGTAACGCTGTTTGCACTGTAAATGAACATTTTATCAATATATTGTTAATAGAAAACAGCAAAAAAATTGATTTATAGAATTTAAAAAATGCTTTTCTAAAAATTTAAATAAAATTCTAAGCTTAGCAGCAAAAATAAGATAATTACAAATTGAATTGATTGGATTAAAACAAAGTCAACTTGAAATTTATGTAAAATGACATCTTGCTGTTATATTTTCTTTTTCAAAACTTAGAATTTTTAAAAATATTTCATTTTCGATTATTAACTTTTCAAAAAGCTGTTCCAACATCTTCATTGAGAAAAATCAATCAAAATCGACCAAAGAGCCTGTAATAAAAGGGACACCCCGTATAAGTGTCGCGAGACAAAGATCGGAACGAGCCGTCCCGGCGATCGGTAAATCCTCGACGGTGATTTACAGCGTCTACTAGCGTCGTGGCGCCGTTTTCTTTTCCGCTAGCGCTCCTTGTCGAGGAATCGCTTTGCCGCTACATCGAATCCGACAAGCGCGAGTCGCGGAGTTATAGACTGCCGAGTCAGATCTGTGAAGGGATTGCTTTTCGACAATTCGTATTTTCCATAGCCGCAAGCGCGTTTCGCCCAGTATCACAAATTAATTCCCTCTTATTACTTCATTTTTTTTAATGAAAAAATTACGTTAAGTAACTTAGTGAGATATGGTCAAAGTAAACTGTAATTAATCTTATGTAGCGATTAAATAATCGATACATAAGGTAATCGGATTGATCAAAAGATTTGTGTTTCTTATTCCTTTCATAAGAATTTATTTCATTATCAATCGGAATATTGAAAAAGAAAAGAGTGACAAAATATTTTAGTAATCTCTGTTGATCTCGTAAGATAGAAGCAAAGAAATGAAGTGAGTTCTCGTATGCCTCGTAAAGAATCTCTTCGGGGTAACTAACCGTCCGAATCGGCCGAGATCTATCTATCGGCTCGAGGGGACCTCATTGGCGAGAGACGTAGAATTTTAAGCAGCCTCTTAAATTTACTCGGCACCTTGCGGATAACAGGCGAGTTATCGAGTTATCGAGTTACGAGCTGGGGGAATAACGCTTATACCCGGAACGCCGCCGCCGCCGCCGCCGCTAAAGGCGGAACGAAGTTTTCGGGGGCGAGGTAGTCGAGGGATGATTCACCCATCGTCGAAAAACGCAAGTAGACGATGATGATGGAGAAAGGAAAATGGGAGGGCAAACTCCGTAGAGAATAAAGGATTCCGAAACTAGTCTTATTAAGGTTTTGTAGCAAATTTTAACTGCGGGAAAATTCATCCCGCTAATTCGCGAGAGAGAGAGAGAGAGAGAGAGAGAGAGAGAGAGAGAGAGAGAGAGAGAGTAGGAGAGAGAAAATAATGAAGCAGCTTTGCGCAAGAGGGACTTTGTCTTATATTAAAGGGACTTTGTCTTATATTAATGCGGTGTTTAACTTCGAAAAAGAGAGATCATAAATTCTAATAAATTTTTGAGAAAACTTAAGTTTCTTAGTTAACTTAACGAGTTTCATAAATATGAAATTTCACAATACCATAAATAAATTCCATAATTTTTGTTAAGAACAAATATTAAATGAATGCTAAATAAATAAAAATATTAAACAAAACTTTTCATCAAGATATAGCACAGATAATATAATAGAAAAAATTCACAGCTCTAAAAAATTCTTTAATTAAAAAGCTTAAATTTTTATTTGAAATTGCATTATATAATATATTTCTATTTTATTTAATATATTTTGTATATATTGAAGTTTTTGTATGTATTTGTTAAAAAGGCAAAAATATTTTTAAC